TAACAACAAAACCCAAAAAAGGCCAAAAAAAAGACACAGACTTGAGCCACAACTCACAACTTTACCTTTACACTCTGATCTTCTTCTTCTTCTTCTTCTTCTTCATGGCAGCTGTTTCTCATTTGTACATCTTCAACCTTGTCCTGTTTCGGTTTTGCATTATTCCGTTCTGGTCCCTCTTCTCCCTCAGAATCTGATTGCTTGTTGCTGTGATCTGACTCGCTCTCGCTTTCCTCATCTGATGCCTGCTGGTCCGACCCTTCATCGTCCTCGTCATCATTTTCATCACCACAGGGGTCAAGAATGCTGCGAACCTGCAAAGGCACGTACAGAACACGATTTCATGGAAAAATACAAAGTGAAGTTAGGCAGGTATAGAACACGATTTCATGCAAAAATACAATGTGAAGTTAGGCAGGTTTAGCAAACAGTAATTCGGTGAAATTTTGACATATTGATTGAAAACCATGATGCTACCACTGGCATCAGATGCCAGCAAACTTGGTGCAAATAGAACCTGCGGTTCCTGATATCCGTATCTGACATGAAAGCTGCTCTGAATTCACTTTTGTTTTGCCCCACCAGAATGCATCCATCCAGGAGGTCAGACCTGGGAGGAGCTAGTGCTTCGAGCTTAGGAGGGTTTATATTTAATTTTAGAAACAAGTCTGGCAGTGTCACACTTTTCAGTTTTGAAAGGGGCAAGAAAAACATGTGCGGGCAACGAAATCGGGTGCCAGTTTGAAAAGCATGATATCGGTAAAAATGGCTCTGGCTCTATACAACATAGCCCAAATGTGATTTTGTTGCCCTTGTCTTTGTTTCCCTTTCCAAACTCGGCGCGCGGAAAAAAATGCTCTTGTTGCTCTTTTGAGCTCGGCGCGCGAATCTGTTGCCCGCGTGTGATTTTGTTGCCCTTTTCATACTCGTTTGTGCCATGAGAGAACTTACCCCTTAATTTTTAATTATTAAACCACCAGTACTTGGCCCAACTATCGGCAGCGGAAAAAAATAGAGTAGAAACGTTTCTAGTCGGATGAATTCGGGCGCTCCTGTAGTAGCCGGTACGTTTCTTAAAATCGTGGCGCGTTAACGGCACGACTCTAGGAAGTACTGGTGGTTTAATACAGCCTCAGGACGTAGGGCTTGCAGGGGAGAGCAATATTAAATACCTCGTTCTCTCCAACTGTCAGTTTCAACTCTCTTCTCTAAGGGCAATATCAGACCACCACATCCCTTTTCTACGTATTTGGCCCTAACCACGACCACATGCACTCCTACCTTCTTCACCCGAATAGAACGCCCAGTCATTATACCTGTATTTGATGCAACTTTCAGTCTATATACAATGATAATGACCGGGCGTTCTATTCTGGTGAAGACGGTAGTAGTACTCCTTAGTGTGAGTGTGCCCCAAGTGTGTGCGCTCTGTCTGCAAGCGACTTGCCAACTTTTTCCTTTGTCCATCGATATCAAGTTATCGACCGTTCCGGCATTAAATATGGTCCATCCATCCATCAGCCGGGAGCGGCTAATCTGTATCGAGTTACTATCTAGTATCAACTCCAGTTATGAGCTTTTCCACCTGTGGAGAGTTTAACCTGGCTCCAAAGGTGTGCCTCGGGACATCCGTCAAAATTGGAGCGATACAGAGAAGATTAGCATGGCCCCTGCACAAGGATGACACACAWAAATGTAAGGAACGGMAAAMAAAAAAAAAAAAAAAAAAAAAAAAAAACAGACTCCACAAGTTAAACCGCCAGGCTCCATAAGGGGTGGGGTTCAAACTTCAAACCAAAGTATACAGTGCCAAAATACGCAGAAGGTTCAGAGAAGATTCAATATTTGGATGATTGATTGGATTGATTGTTAAACCACCAGTACTTCATAAAGTCGTGCCCATTAACGAGCCACAAGTTTTTAGGAAACGTACGGGCCACTACAAGCGCGCCCAAATTCATCCGACTAGAAACGTTTCTAGTACTTTCTACTCTATTTTTTTTCAACAGCTGATAGCCGGGCCAAGTACTGGTGGTTTGATTTCTCACTCTTTATTTACCCGTAGCCAGGAGTCATCCCCATGTATTTATCCTCGTACGTGGGTTAGGTCCTCCAAGGCCCAATAGGACTCTCTTCAACCTGTGCATGAGAGGGTCCAGGGTTTTTCGGCTTCCTGTTTTTTGGGAGAGGCTCTGCACTGCAAACTGTTAAAAGTTGGATAGAGGGAGACCTGATGACCCACTTTCCTTCAGTATGGACCTCGCCGCACTACTCACCAAATGTACAAAATGAGAATGAATCTTCCGCTAGAACATGGAAAGATGCACGGCCGTCATTTTTTTTTTTGTCTTTTGTGCATTGACTAGTGCGGTGAGGCCACATGGGTGTCGTTAGACGCTCCTTGGGGACGTGAAATCCACAAGGACGCACTTGTTCCACCTGTCCTTGGGGACGAAATTGAAAAAGAAATGTGAAAACGCCACAACGAAAATTCCTTGTGGCGTCCTTGTGGCCTCAGCCAAAATTTCCTTATCCATGATTCACGGAGCAACGAAGACATGCGTCGATGGAGAGTTTCGGTTCTTGGGTGGTCCAGACGTGGTCCAACGGCATTAGTACGGACATTCCCGCCCTTCAACGTCTACGTAATCCCCCAACGCCCCCCAATGGCTACTGTTGGTGGCGGGCCTCCATCGGGTGGCATCGTCGTTTTCGGCCGGCATCATGCGGTCTCCCGCACTCGAGGAACGTCAGGAACGGCCAGGAATTTTTTTTTTTCCCGGCAGCGCCTTCAGTCCGTCCACAGAAGAGGTCTCTGCATGAGCATCGTATTCCCACCCATGTCGTCACGTGCTGCATGTCCAGCAAGACTCTTGCCTTCTCCGCCGTCGTGTGCTAGATGTCCGACAACAGACATGCCGATGCTGCCCTATCCACCGTGCAGTTCATGGCTTCATGGCCGACCAGTACCGCAGGCTCCCTCTGCTGCTCCACGTCGCTATGCTGGTCCCTCTGCTACTCCTCGATGCTGTGCTGCTTCTCGTCGAAGTAGTCATCTGTGGAGTCGTCACATTGTCGAAGGTCTTCCCACGTTCCCCCCGTCCTGGGTTTGATCTACCACCTCGGAGTAGCTTTTGGAATGACGCCGCAACCCAACTTGTAGCACAAATCGATGACAGCCTCCGAAGTTGCCACGTAGTCGGGGCCATTATCCGCAGCTTGCATAAGCGTCCTTCTTCTACGTGCGCGCAACTGCTACTTCTTTTGTCCCAGCGCCCTCTCCTGCCGACAACGAAGAACAACAGTTGACACGGCCGCAGTCACGGCCGCCCGCTCAAGCGGTGTCAACAGTGCACAGGGATGATGTCTCTCCGCTGCGGTCTCGATCCTCGCACCCCAGAGACGTAACCCGCTCACCCCTCGAGGAGAGGTCCAAGAAACCGCCGCCTTTCCGTTGATGCCGTCCCCCTGGCGCTGCGTGTGACAGCACGGACAACGTGGAGGAGAAGCTCGACAGCGATGGACGCACCTGGTGCACACACATACACTGACCAGGAGGTGGGCGGAAAGGACGCCGCAGCTAAGGCCGATTCAGCCCTGCACCATCTCCGCCCCACAAGCTGAACGTCGTCGTCATCACCACAGCCGTACTTCAAATTTTGAATTCCAAACATAGAGGTCCCCCTTTTTTATTTTATTTTTTGTGGCCTGCCTCATGCCCTTTCCCGCCGGACATCGCTGGACCACGCCGTCTCCACACGGACAACGGACGCTGGACCACGGACAACCCCGCCCACGGTCGTGTATTTTCGTATGAAAATAACCGCGGGCAGGCCACAATGAAACGACGAAACATCCTCGGGGGACGTATCCAAGGATCTGGAACGACGCCGCAAAATCCCCTTACGAGCCACACAAGGAAAATTCCTTGTGGCTCAAGGAACTCACAAGGAGTGCCTAACGACGCCCTATATCACATGAAACCACCAGAGCAAACCTCAAACCTGATAAGAAATTCCTCTGTGATAAATTACCAGGGGCACACTCCAAAACTGATCACCAACGGAAAAAGAGAAACTTGCCTTGAGTGCAATTGCGTAGTACTTGCTGTTAACGTCTCCGATCTTCATTCTAAATGGTGACCGCTCACCCGGAAAAGTCATGTCGTCTTCTTCATCAGTCGCACAGCGGAAGAACGGCGGCTCATAATCCTCCGGCTGCACATCACACGACAACGATCTGTCAATATAGGTTGGAACACCCTGCAGCAATCAGCGACTGGATACGTACTCTGGCATTTCTATTTGACACGTGTGTGCGTGCACATGCACAGACACATCCATCGCCACACAAGTTATGTGAAAACAGTTTGGAAAACAGAAAGCATGAAGCAGAATGCACAAAGAAAGGAAAAAGAATTGAAAGAAAGAAAAGCACAGGGGCTACTTCCCACTTGTGGGGCTTTAGACGTGAAAAGTACACACCAGTTCCTGCCATCCGATCCGAACACCCCCCCCTCAAGGCTGCACTGTGGCTGCGTCGAAAAATACTTGGGACTAAATCCGCGCTAGTGGGACTTAGCCCCAGGGGGCTGAGGGGGCATGAAGCAGAGAGCAAAATGAAAGGAAAAAGATATTAAAATTTGAAAGAAAGAAAAAGTGCAAAAACAGCTCCAAAAAAGATGAAGCAGAAAGGAAAATGAAAGGAAAGAAAGTTGAAAGAAAGAGGGGGGGGGGGGGAAGAAAGAGAGGGAAACGGAAAGAAAAAGTAAGCAAAAAGGAAGGAGAAGGAAAAGAGAGAGAAAGCCTTTGATGGAAAAAAGGAAGCACACATAAAAGGAGAAAGAAAGGAGAGAGAAAAAAGAAAGAAAAAAGAAAGGGGAAAGAACTTCAAAGAAGCAGAAAGTGCCAGAAACTTGTCATTTACTTTGATCCTTTGGTTCTGAGTCAAATTCTGACCACTGACCATATAGACTATGACGATCCACGATTAGAAAGCAAGAATCTCGCCTTTTTTTTAAGCAAGAATCTGGCTTAGTGGGCCCTTCACTCAGAATCTGATATCATTGAGAACACAGAGAAGCATAAATGACAGCATCATAAAAGTGATAAAAATACAAGGGATTTGGACTTTTCTTCCCGAGCAGAAGACAAAAAGCTGGCATTTTTTGGGGCCCAGTAGTTGTAGGCTAGATCTAGACAGGTACCAGTCCAAGTAGTCTGAGTCTAGGGCCTGTACGGGTGATATCGGAGTCTGTGATGATATTTCCCTCCGAAAGGGAGGAGGTACCGGTTGCTTGGAGGCCGCGCGCCCTGGAAGGCACCACCCAAGAGGCAAGTTGGCCGCGATATCTCCAGGAGGAGCAAAGTGCTCCTCCTCATTTGCTGCGTGCAAGTTTGGACGTCATGCTGCTGGAGCACTGGAGGAGCAGCGCTAGTGTGCAGTGCTATGTGGGGAAGAAGGGTGCCCAGCTGGAGGAGCTCAGGCAGGAGGAGGAAGAAGGGGACTAGGGCAGGGGAGCGGCAGGGGTACTTACCTGGCTATGGTGGACACCATCTTCATCACCTTGGTCGGTGCTGCATCTGGAAGGCCCCCGTTGGGGTAGAGGCCATGGCTATGGTGGACCTCAAGTTGTGCTGGCAGTAGAAGAGGGATTCGGACATTGATTCTGGTTCTGCCATTCATCATCATTATTATTATTTATTGTTTGAATAAGAGGGGAGGAGAAAAGGAGGAGTTGATGGGTGATGAGAAGGGCGATTATCATTGGTCTTTGCTGGCATACATCTTCTTCTTGCTTTCTTCTTCCTTTTTCTATCTTTCTTCTTGCTTTCTTCTTCTTCCTTCTTTCTTTCTTCTTCTTCTTCTTTCCCTCTCTCTCCTCTCAAGTTCATTCATTTCCTTTTGCGATTGGACGGCATTGTGCTGTCTCTTGAATTTGTACTTCGAAATTGGCCAGGATCATAACACTACAATCATTTCGGTTTCCAGCTAGTTGCTCTCTCTCTCTCTCTCTCTCTCTCTCTCTCTTTCCCTTTTTTTTTCTGAAACACACTTGCCCCTTCCATTCTGCGTGGTGACAGCCCGGTTACTTATCACCAGCAAGCATGACAGACAAAGATTGTGAAGCAAAAGCAGGATAGTGCAGTGTCAAGTTTTTTTGGGGGGACATCGGCCCAGGCAGGCGTCTGGACCTGCCGCAGGCGGTGTAGGAAGGCCCCAAACTCAGATGAGGGCCAAGGTCGCGGGGAGGGGCCTGGATGCAATAATTTGCTATCTCGCTGCCTTGTTTTGAGTGATCTGTGTGGGATGCAGTGTGATACATGGTTGCAATTGGAATTGAATTTAAGCTGGTTCATTGCAGTATACTCTCAAACTTCTCAAAGCCTTTATATCTATACCACCACGGTCCACCAGTACATCCAAAAAAGCAGATTCCTCTCCTAAAAATAGGAGGCCATAAACCGCCGACTCATTTTATCAACGGTCCACAGCGTACATACAATCCGCTCGTGGTTCTCATTCCCCCTCTTCCCCCCAGCTCCCCCCCGAAAAAAGAAAAAAGAAAAGAAAAGAAAAATCTTCTATTTTTTCTCGAAACGAGAAGAGTCCTTCCCAAGTTCCCCAAAAAGCGAAGGGAGTTATTAACAAGAGGCATACCGTTACATCATCATAATAGTAGATCTTCATAACCAGATATCTCTGCCACGCCGGAAAAAAAAAACGAAAAACAAAACAAAAGAACATGCAAGAGTTCAGGAAACCGAGTACCATTCTCACATCAGCCAAAAAAAGAACATGCTATAAATGATCAGGTCGCCTGAAATAGATTTTTTGAAATTTCCGTAAGTCCACTCAGTGTAAAATTATGTTGGTGCAATTTACCCAAAAACAGAAGCAGCAAAATGTGTCAGTGTGACAGTGTGTGCTTTTCAAATCATTCACATGTATGCGCTTCTTACAAAATCTCCACCACTATTAAAATGGGCAATCCAACAAATCGCCAAGCCACACTGTCCCCTTTCCTACCAGGCCCACGGCCCGGATTGTGGCATCCTACCAGGCCAACAACGCAAGTCATCTCGCGATCTTACAATCTTCAGATTGCACGTCAATGTGGGTCGTTATCATAAAACAAGTTTTCGGGAAACATATCCACTTTAACAAAATCGCTTTCTCAATTTCAGATGTTCGTGAATGAGCAAATCCCACAACTCTCTCTCTCTCTCTCTCTCTCTCTCTCTCTCTCTCACACACACACACACACACACACACACACACACACACACACACACACACACACACACACACACTGTGTGTGCGTGTGCGTGTGCGTGTGAGAGAGAGAGAGGCACACCCACCCCCCCACACACACATTCACCTACCCACCGACACACCCACCCACACACACACATTCACCTACCCACACACACACACGCACGCACACACGCACACACACACACACACACACACACACAAACACACGCGTGCGCACACACACACACACACACACACACACACACACACACACACACACACACACACACACACACACACAATTGTTTTTCTTTTCCCATTCCATTGTTTCTCTTTGTCTCCAATGTGAGGACTCTCTCTCTGGGGACGAGACTTGAGACTCGAGCACGTCAAGCCTGACTACAAGTATAGTATCAATTGGCTATCTTTCTCTCTTGCCTACTTTATACACGGACCTATCTTGACATCAAACTACTGTATGGGGTCTCATTAAAGTCGTACCCGGAGATGCATCTGAAGTTTCTGGACACATGCAGCATGATGCAGGGAAAAAGGTGTTAAGAAAACGGCCTGAAAAAAAAGGACAGCTACATGAGCGGCTCGCCCAGGGTTGGAACTTGCAAAGATAAAAACAAGCCCCATCAGAATGCACATGGATCATAAAAGATGTGCCGATGCGCAAGCGCGCGATCTGGACTTGGATGCATCCAGGCCTAGGTGCATTCTTGCTGGGCTAATATTGTGCTTTCAACTTTCAAGTTGAACGGTGTTATTTGTCCTTCTCCCCCAAACTTGAGAAAAAGGGGAAAACAACAGCCGTCAAAGTTACCTCGTCAGGTACACTTTCCAACGTTTGCATTAGCTGCACCAGAGTTCGAACCAGTTTGCATGCTGCACTCCTGTAGATTCAGAACAGACACAGACAAACCCACAGGGACACACTCACACGCGCCCACACACACACACACACACACACACACACAGAGAGAGAGAGAGAGAGAGAGAGAGAGAGAGAGAGAGAGAGAGAGAGAGAGAGAGAGAGAGAGAGAGAGAAGCACGAGAAGGGCAGCAGGGGCAGGCACAGAAAAAGGACAAAAACCAACGGCAGCATGAAAAGGACCAGTCCGACCAGATTAGCACTCTTCGTGACATTTAGTTGATTGTGAACTTGTATGCACTGTGCAGGCAGCTAAAGTTCAATGTAGCTTCAAGCAGAAGGCACAACGGACTTGAAGAAAGGCACAGAGATCATACAGGGAACAGTCACAGAACAATACTAGTACAAAACACAAAGGAGAAGGTTAGCATGAGACTTGCACATGCCACAAGAACAACACAGAGGAAAATAGTGGCATAGATGCCTGCACTGCGGACCAACCCTAACGTCGGCCCCTGAATAGAACGCACAGTCCTTATAGCTGTATGTGGGGCAACTTTCATTCTAGATACAGCGATAGTGGCTGTATGCTATGCACAGGTGAGGACAGAAGGTCGGATCCCAAGCTGAACATTTTTGACTGGACTAGTTCACCTCGGCATCCAGATGGATGTGGTCCTGAAATGATGCCAACCTGGTTCCAAGCTGAACACTGGGATTGAACCACTTAACCAGGGCATGCCAACGTGAAACTGGGAATTAGCAGACTTGGAAGCTCCTATCTGTTTCCAATTTTCATGTTTGGTAAACTCCTGTACGTTTTATATTATATCAATTTATATGTTAAAAGAAAAAGAAAAAAAAAAAAAAAGAAAGAAAGAAAGACAGAAAGAAAGAAAGAAAGAAACTCCTGGACGTTTAACGAACAGAATCTCAACTGTGTTCACAAATACACCCGTTTGTTCAAAAAGACTAATGAAACAACATGGATCAGGTTCACTGAACTTCACTCCCGATTCACAAATTGCAAATAATAGAATGCTGATATCTGTATGCTGAGACTAGACACCAGGCATGCACTGGCAGCTGGCTGGACCTCTCTCCATCCCTTGTTGCTGCTATGGGTGCCATGGGCTCCGAATAAACTACAGTCATTACAAATTCAGTCGTCTTAAAATTTGACTGAAACATGCAAGAATTCCTACCACACAAAAAACGGCTGAAACATGTAAGCTATGAAACCGCACGTTCATTGAATGCGACGGAACGGAATTGAACTCCGTTCAATTCCGCGCGGACCCACAGGGAGGGTGGAGGGGCGGGGGAGGGCTGGGGTTAGGTTCCCAGGGATTTGTGTTGGAAACAAAAGTGAAGGAAAAAAAAAAGGAGAGAGAGAGAGAGAGAGAGAGAGAGAGAGAGAGAGAGAGAGACGCTGGACCTGGTTTCCAGCAGGTGTCACTCCCCACCAATAGATGGAGCAACCCGACTATCCAATCCTCAATCCTAGTGGTTACCTTACCACCACTGGGATAGAGGGCTTGTAAATGGGCTCTTAAAAAGAAACTAGCCAAGTGCCCGCGATGCGAGCGGTGCGGGCTACACCCACAGAAATAACAAATGCAGTGGGTGACCTCACACTGCATTTCGGATGGCTTGCCTCCAAGATGTCCGTCCGCAGAAACAACAACGGCCTATCACAGGACACAAAACGGTAGCCGCGCGAGAAATGAAAAAAGAAGGAAAAGAAAAGGCAAAAAGAAAAAGGGTGGGAACACACAAAACAACAGGCTCGAGAAATGAAAAAAGGAGAAGGGGGACACAAAACAATGGCCAACCGGGGAAAAGAACAAAAAAAAAAGCCACCCGCATATCGGATGTCTCGCCTCCAAGATGTCCTTCCGCATCAACGCCAGCCGTGTGGCCCGCCCCCGGGGCGCGCGCTCTCATTTAATGGCGCGCTGTGAACATTTCAGTACATGCACCCCTCTGCACAGTCCCCCACCCTCGATCGCCTTCATCCGCCGCCCCTCACCAAAACTTCCGACCCAAATCCGGCATCCAGCTCGTCGTGGACCTCCCCCCCGCGGCTAATGCTGTTTAAGGGATAGGATAATAATAAAAATTAATTGATTAATTAATTAGTTAATTTAAAAAAAAAAACGAATGTCGTTCAAAATCGAATGCGAACGCAAGTCCGCGTTCAAACGCAAATTTGAACGCAAACGCACGTTCATGGCGTTCAAACGGCAACATAGCATGTAAGAGAAATTAAGACTACCTGAAAGTGGAACGAGAGACTCAAACAGGGGATACACAACCCAAAAAAAAGGAGAGAGAGAGAGAGAGAGAGAGAGAGAGAGAGAGAGAGAGAGAGAGAGCAGTCGCACTTGGGTATACAAACAACTGGGATATAATGACAATGTGTTTGTTTGGCCCTCTCAGATCCTGGGTATTTCAACAATTAGCATTTCGGTAAACTAAGTTGGATATGCTGAGAATATGAAGGGGTCCTTGGGCACAACCGCAAACAGCCTTGGTCCTGGATACGAAAGAAAATCCAAATAAAAAGTGGGGTACAACAAGAAGCTGCCCTTATTTTTTATTCACCCGATAATCCTGATTCCATGAGGAGGTTCTAACCATGGCTGCCCCGGACCCGGATACTGGACCAATCCAGACGTCCCGACGTCCGGCCAGACGACGGTCCGGTTCAATCCGGACAAGAATCTGGACATCCAGACAATCTAGATGTTTGGAAATTTTGTCCAGAAAACAAACAAAACAAACAAACAAGGTTTTCAAACTGGTCTTCAATGTTTAAGTGATCTGTGATGCTCTGTTTTGCACATGATAGTGGACCGAAGGACACTGAAGTACACTCAAGTAGAGTACCAACTGTAATTGGCCGTGCTCACTAAGTAATACCAGTTCACTATTTGATATTAGCTCATACTACTTCATCATGTTCAGAGTCTTCAGACCATGACAGTGTTCGCCCTCATGAGGGCCTCACCTTCGTAAGAGTCTCAGCAAGACGACGTCTGTAGAATTGCAACATACCGTTGATTCCTTGACATCAAACACATTATTCTAAAAATTTAAAAAATTAACAAAACAGACCCGACTTTTGTATGTTTTGTTCCAATTACCCTCCCCACTGAGTCCCCAGCTGGTCAGGGGCCAGGGCCTGTCCGGATTGGCCTCCCAAGGCCAAAAGATGTCTCAGCCATTTTTGGTGGCCCAGGGGGGGGCAGGACCTGGGAAACCACCTGGGCACCCCCGATTTTTGTTTCGAATTTTCTCTATAGAGGGGAGAGGGGGGGCATCCGGACATACTGCAGCAGACACCGGGCACAGACATCCAGATTCCAGACCCAGACTGTCCAGATCAGGATCCAGACGTCCAGTTGGCAACCATGGTTCTAACTTCTAACTCGTGATCTATCATTATCATCATCCTCACCATCCTCAACCTCATCAGCACCATCACCATCATCTTCATCTTCATTTTCATTATCATCACAGCCGTAACCAGGAAGAGTCTGAGGAGACCATAAACTCTGTACACCCATCATCATCATCATCATCATCATCATGTTCATCATTGTCGTCGTGCTAGACATTGCTACCGTCTTCACCCGAATAGAACGCTTGGTCATTATAGCTGAATTTGATGCATTTTTCAGTTCAGATACGGCCATAATTACCGGGTGTTCTATTCGGGTGAAGACGGTAGTCTTCATTTGTGTTACTGATGTCAGTGTCCCGCTCACCTCATTTGTGCCGAGGTTGGCTCTGAATCACTGGAGGAGAATGCCTTGGTCTTCTTCTTGCCATTTCCATGTGTAATGTCCATTGATGCCCCCTCACTGGGATACGAGAATGAGACTGCAAGGATGACCAACAGAAGACATAGGTCGATGATCAGAAAATGATGATGATTGAGGGCATATTGGCCATATAATATTCACAATAGAACTTTGCCACAGAGCTAACAAAGGGTGTGAGCTCTTTTACTCATTCTTAACAGGTCCTTAAGGGCCCATCTGAGCCGGCTCCGTAGAGTTCATATCCATTCTGGGGGGCGCCGGTCCGGTTCCTACTTCACCAGCAAGCCAGAAATTTGAAAGGGCGTCAGCTTTTTCGGCCAGGTGGGCCAAACTGACTCGTGCCCCCCTTGTGCACCTGTGTGTTCTGCTCCGCCCTCAGAGCAGTGGTCCTTTAATTAAACCACCAGTACTTGGCCCAGCTATCGGCCGCGGAAAAAAATAGAGTAGAAACGTCTCTAGATGGACGAATTTGGGCGCTCCTGAAGTGGCCCATACATTCCCTAAAATCATGGCGTGTTAACGGGCACGACTCTAGGAAGTACTGGTGGTTTAATACTAGTTTAAAGAGTTAGATTATACTTCACCTGAAGCTCATCATTGCAGCGGGCCTCTACTTACCCTGGCCTATAGCCAGGGCTATTCGCCTATGTGGCTATTCAGCCTGTGGGACCAGGCCGTTGGCTTGACCCCACAGGCCGTGTGTCTATTCGGTCCAGTCAAATCCAGTGCCGTGGCCGGTACCAGTCCAGTCCAGTCCAGTCCAGTCAGTCCGCTGGGGGTATACCCCAGCTCAGCTCAAGTATGTATTTCGATTCATTTTTCACTTTGCACATTTTTGGAGTATGCGTGCTGAGTCTACGGCGGTGCCGAGTTGTCTCTTCCAGCTCCACCGCCATCTCCACCTTCTTCCTCATCCCTTCCTTCTCCCCAGCGACAGCCAACCATCCCGGCTGTCCCGTTACAATCAGGATTGACTTAAGAAAGAGGGATGAATCCTCACTGTTCCAACCGTAGCAAGAATAACAAACAATTTTTTCTGTTGTGCTGTTTGCTTCTGCAAAAGAATGAAAAACGAATTTTTCTGCTGTGCTGTTTGCTTCTGCAAGGAATATGAGTGAGAGCGATAGACAGAAATCCAAAATGCAAAATCACGCTGTAGGTCAGATAGTCGAGAACCAAGCAGAAAGCATAATGCACCGAGATACATGCCAAATAAGAGCAACACGATGAACTCAAATGAGTGGGATGTGCACACAGTACCGTATGTGCACCAGGAGTCACTTGAAACTGAAGACCACTGTACGTACGACATCGCCCATGCAGACTGCCGGCATACACCACGTACGTGCCTCTCTCTCCTCTCTCTCCTCTCTTTCACCTCCTCCTTTCCCACATGTTCGTCCTCATCACTCGAAGATAAGATCCGGGCCGTCTTTTTTCCCATCTACTACAAATCAAATCGCATCTTACTTAGGATATGGCCGCTTCCGCCTGCTGCTATCACTGCGCCCCTCACACCCCTCAGCGCCCGTGCATGCCCTGGCCAGCTAATGCTGAAGCAGCCGCTCTATCGTGCAGCTTCGTGGCCACGACAGGCTACCAGCCAGAATGTGCCCTGGGCAGGGGCGAACACTTTCCTTTAGGGAAAGTGCGCCCTGCTTCGGCCTGAGCTGGGCCTCGTGCGCCGGGGCCCAGTAGCTTCACGTCCGGCCCAGGTGTCTGCGCCCAGGCCCATTCAGATCCTGGCCTGGGCCTGTAGCCGTTAGGCAAGCCCAACCACTCAGACTAAACATGAGGCGCTCCCTGCACGTTGCCTGCTTCCCAGTCCACGCCCAGAGAAGCCTGGGAGATTCATGGAATATTCTGATTCTCACGAGCAGGGTTTGCGTAACGAACTGGAGCGTGGTAACTGTCTGGCGTCCACTTCGCAGAATTGACGGAAATGAAGGCCCCATGTCGAATTCAGGTCCGCCTTCTCTTAGGGCGGGCCGCTGGGCACCATACTTGCAGGAGGGGCCCCGTACGCAGTCCTGCGGCCAAGCGGTCTATGTGAGGGTTCGTTCCTCGCACTTCTCTTTTTTTGAGTTTTTTTTCCTTTTTTTTTTTTTTCTCTGTCTCTTTGTTTTCAGTGAGCAACTGTTATCACCATCGTCTTGATCAGAGGGCGCCGCGATTATGTACGACACTCCCTCTTTCTTTTTTCTTTTCTTTTCTTCGAGCCTGAGTCGGACTAAGATAGAGTCCTTTCAAATCTGCAAAAGATTTAAACTTTTAAAGACGTCACTATTTGATAAAGCTTTCTAGTAAGTATCTACTGATTTCATAGCTAAATCATTTTCACGTTTTGGGTATGAAGATTCTCCGAAAACTTTAGACAAACAAAGGTGCTATTTCCATCTTAGGTCCCTATGGAATTCCCACCACATTTCGGAAATTAGTAAATTAGTAAAATTACTAATTAACAAAGCAACGATACAGAGAAGATTAGCATCACCCCGTTCAGAGATTATGTAGAAAAAAGTTCAAAAAACTACAAATCGAGAAATGGAGTTTTATTTATTCATTTATTTTGGAGATTTCAGGAGTTTCTCACCTGAATCTAATTAGCTGCCGTAGGCTGACTATAGTTAAGATCACATATATACGCCCATAAAAGTCCTCCTGCGAGCAGTATGCCTCAGTTCAGAGATGAGTTTAAACTTTAAAATTTAAATTTTGCAGCGAGTTGAAAGTACTAAAGTAGTGCGCCAACACCCTTTTAATATTCTCCTTCTTTCTCCAACTGCAATTTTAATTTCTGCCTGATCTCAGCGTCAAGCCCCACTGCACGAGGAAAAAAAATAAAAAATAAAAAAATCACGATAATGGTAAAATCATACTAAAAATTCTAAAATGTAATAACTGCAAACAACGGACCTAGCGCAGTTGGTACACCCACAAACTGTTGAAATACAGACCCAAGTTCGAATCCACACGCAAGCAGATGACCAGAATAAAATCATTCTGAACTACCTGGGAGCGGTCAGTTCAATGATGATATTTCAAGGCTCTCGCCCCTTAAAAAAAAAAAAAAAAAAAAAAAAAAAAAAAAAAAAAAAAAAAAAAAAAACCTGAAGCCAGGTGCAATAACCCGCTCAAATATGCCCATGTCGTCGGCCAAGCGGACCACCTGCAGGCCACAGTTCGGCCCCAAGGCCCTGCGTCCGACTGTGTGAAACAAGGCCCGGGCCCTGCGCCCGACAGTTGACCGAAGTCAACTGTAACCCGGAATATTAAGGCTCACGAGTCAAAGTCTTGCTCATGAGTCAAAGTCTTCACGGACCCAGTCCAGGCCACCGATCAGATACACACTTTTGGCTGTACGCAGGTATCCAGGCAGCATTTGGTCCAAGTGGAAGCCTGTAACTGTCCACGATCCAGGCCGTCCGTGAGTCAATCTGAGCCTTTGTACGTAAGAGACCAGAGGCTGGCCAACGGCGTCAACATTATTTATTGGCTCAGCCCCTGGGGGTCAACATTCAGTCTTGCACTTGCTGCTTGACGCTGGCAGTGTGCGCCGACGACGCGAGACTGCTGCTTTGCATGCTGACGCCTCTCTGCTTCTGGCGCCAGCTGTCTTCTTGGTTGCTGACGTGGCACTTGCTACGATGTCTTCAACATTGCTGAGGTGGCGCATGCCACACTGTCTTCGACACCGATTGGGGATTCGACATCGATTGGTGATCAGGGCTTGTGAGTTGGGTTGTGAGAGAGAGAGAGAACTTACCTGTGATGATGCTGCCGACCTTGCGCGCTGCTGAGAAGTCTTCATGAGGGATCTCTGCCTACGTGGCACTTTGCTGTGATCAGATCTTGTCAGACTCGTTGGCACTTTGCCGTGATCAGATCTTGTCAGACTCGTTTCTGGGGTACTGTTTGCTGACGTGGACATAGGGAGATGCCCAAAGAAGGGGTGGGGATTGAGGGGAATCTATCTACAATGACATCCAATTTGATGGATACTTTCTCTTCCGCCCTCTTAAGTCTATTCTCCCTCCTATCAGCTCCGTCCTATGGTTACGATTCACGAGACGTTGTCCTACAGATCACATTTATTGGAGACATTTATCAGCGCTGAGTCATCTTGTATTTCGAGAATTTTTGACACTTGACGAGTTACACTCCTGACTGGGTTCATTACACAGGGGTCAGCCGGTAGCATCAGGACCAAGCTTCTTCGATGGGCCCGTTGCTGTCCCTCCCCTCCGGTCCCGTACCCCTAAGAACATCAGCAGTCCCTGCTCAATAGCGCTCGGGGGAACCGACGGCTTATGTCTAGGTGGCGGACATTGGAGGCTTGAGCACGGAATCCCGTGTGGCTGATATGGGGTTCCCCATCAAACTAGAATGACAATAAGAAAAGGGAGTCCGACTGAAAGGCTATCCTGTCCAGTTTCGACAGGTAATTGAATTGGTTGGGCTCAAAACATTTAGCCTTTCGAAAGGGGAAAAAAAAAAAAAAAAAAAAAAAAAAAAAAAAAAAAAAAAAAAAAAAAAAACATTCAGAGAACAGTTAGGGCAACTGCAACTAGAATTTCAAAATTTGCCTCCATCTGATTGTATCTAATAGTGTTAGAACTACTACTCTCTATCTCTTTGACTTTTAGCTTTTAAACCACCAGTACGTTTCCCCAGTCTGAAATGAATTATGCAGCGCATATACAGACACAAACTTTCACGGCTCAGCCTCCGGAGCAAAATGGCTGGCAGCACCAGCCAACAGGAGAGCCCGTGCGGGCCGTTTCCAGCCCCGGAGAAGAGTGCCTTAGAAGTACTGGTGTTTTTTTTTTTTTTTTTTTCTCCTTCAAAAAAGCCCTCTTTTGAGCCAATAGCCTCCTCAACAATAGTAAAGAACAAATAACACTGGATGGGTGCAAAGTTGCGAACACGAAAGAAGTCCTCTGGATCAGCTTGCCTCTCCATCGGCTGTGGATCCGAGAGGGGAACATTCTCACTGATTCCTTCCTCTGCTTGTACTCCTCGTCCATTTTCAACCCCCTAACCCTTGCAGGTACCGAGCAATCGGCCGCCGCGCCATCAACTGCTGGCATCCAGGCAAAACTGTGTCAAAGTTCTCAAACGTTTTTCAGTAAAAAAAGCCAAGAACTTTGCCTCCGATGTTCTTCCGCCTGGCCTCGTCATGGTCCATGATTCCGCTCGAGGTCATTAGCACGATGTAAGCAAACTGACGAGAGGGAAGAAGCCTGGCAGTCCAGTCTTCAATCTCCTTCACGGAAATGTTGAACCTGGGACTAATGACGCCACACTTGTTCAGCCTTCCATTGAGCTCCACTACGATCTTCCCCACACGGTGGTCATCAACCAGCTCGAATTCTCCAATATAACCGTGCTTCTGCATGACCGTCAGGAACTCGATAATCACTTTCGACGAAGGCTTGAGCAAGACCTGGCGCTTGCCGCGCTTCTCCGCATTGAACATATTCTTGAGGGCATTGTTCAACACACTGATGCTCATCATTCTGCCTCACTGTTTTGACACCTTCAAAGAACAGCAGATGCCTCAACAACAAGAAGCGCGAACGCAGGGGCCGACTTCGAAGCAGTACTGGTGGTTTAAGTTTTAACAATCTACTTCTGTCTGCACGTGTTGTTTGGCTACCCAAGCACGTTCATCCACAAACCACTGCTCTTGCTTAGGAAGAGGGGGGGAAGGGGGGAGGGAGGAGGCGGGAACACGGAATATATCTGTGTACCAAACAAAGAAAAAAAAGGAATCCAAATGATACGGGGCAACTCACACTAGCAGGCAGCATGGCAAAGCTCTCCGCCTACTTTACATCTGTAACCACGCCAATTTTCAGGTCCGGTACAGACACAGCAACCCTGTGCTCTATTTGAAGGGAAATGGTGGGACGCCAGGCACTACTGCTGCTCATTCGAGCAGGCTTGTGATTTGCTGTCAGAACAAGATGAGCTTACACAAGGGGGAAGAAAAGGGCGGGAAAAATAAATAAATAAATAAATAAAAATCATCTTGTGTTACCAACTTATCATGCGTTTTGTCTGAAGAACGGATGCGTGATATCCCCCACTTAACACAGAAAT